CCCTTCCCCGTCCTGTTCCTGCCAGGTGGTGGGCCCTGGGCGTGTCTGGGAATTGAGTACCCCCATACTCTATTGGCACCCCAAATGTTTTTTAAAACACCTCGTACGGTCAAATGACTGTCATATAAACTGTGGACCAGGCGGAAATCTGGAGAAAGGGTTTTAATCTGTGCCACACAAGGTAAAAGTGCTTGCTGTGCTAAAGCAGCTTTCCAATTACACTCATTCCTAAACCCTTCGGGCTGGACACGGGGCTGGGCTCCAGGAAATACAAAAGGAATGAGGCTAGGGGTTTGCGTCGGCCTCACTCACCACTATTCTGGGTAGTCTAGCCAGACCCACACACTCGTAGGTCCCCTGATAGTGACGGGTGGTTGGATGCATGAGTGAATGAGGGAAGGGAAGCCTGGACGGTACCCTGCTCTGGAGGAGCTCCTGGTTTGTTGGGAAGACTGTGAAGTACGTCATTCACTATGTGGCCCTTCCTCTTGACCAGCCCAACTAGTGTGAACGAACCAGAGGACACCCAGAGCGCTGGCAGCTGGAGGGGCACATGCTACCCGAGTAACAGGCGTGGTCTGGGGGTCAGGGAGGGGTTCACGGGTGACTTCGGCAGGAACCTTGATTAACCGTGGTTCCACCAATTGGAGAAGATGGGTGGGGATGAGGGGAAGGCTGCCTTTCTATACCCCAAGTGGCTCCTCCTCTAGGGATGCTGGATCCACACTCTTCGGTGTTGGAGGCCTCGTGTTGGAGGCCTGGGCCTGTCAGCTAGGTCTGATTTCACCTCTCAGACAGGCCAGGGTGAAACTCTCCCCTCTCCCCATGGTCAGCCTCAAGACTTGCCCAGTCCCTCTCACCTGATGGGAGGGGCACGGGAGGGTTTGACAGGCCTAGCCTGGTTCTTGGACAAAATCCAAACCTGACTCCACCCTGGTTGCCCAGCCTGGCGGGACAGTATGTGGCCAAGTTCCTATCTAAATGCTGTCCTGTCTTTGGGAGATTACCACCGGGTGGCACTTACCAAACCATCAGGGAAATTTTAATAGATGTGTACAAAGAATTAAAGTCTTTCCCTTTGCAAACAACTCTTTTTAAACCACCCAGCAGTGAGTGGTTACTGAAGAATGTCCAGGACTTTTAATATGCTATTTGATTGTGAATCACCAAGAGGGGGTTTCACAGGCAG